TACTAGCACAGAGCCACGACCGGACACCCTCATGTCAGGCTCCTTCACCACCACAGCCCACAGCAAGTATGATAATGTTTCTGGGAAGAATATACTCAACAGATGGAAGTTTAGTACTATTTTTACCATTGCTGGTGCAGTGAATGTAGAGAGCATGATAATTGATTATCTGGGACAACAGAAATGCACAGGAACTGGAATTTCAAGGATTAGGGTCTCTCCAAGGATTTCCTTCGAGGTTCAGTGACGGAGGGGTGGAAGAGCAGAGGGGCATGGGGAGGAATTCCTTGCACCGCCAGCGGGAGAGATAGCCTTTGTGTTGGAAACGGAAACACGGCTTTCTGTTCCCATCTGCAGCCAGCCTCTGGAGACAATAGTATTAAGAGTGATGTGAGCGTCCTCTGTTCTTCACCACGGGATGGGAGCCTCGAAGCAGTTATCTGCACTTGCCTATAGCAACACTGTTCAACTTCTCACAGCTTTTTTTTTTGTCCTACCAGAAACGTTTAATGTGTCTGGGGGTAACGGTCCCATGTTTCATCTGTTTTAAGGGACATTTATGGAAGTTAGGTGGCAATTTTATCCTGAGTAAGCAGGCTAATATTCTGTCACTCTGCATTACTCAAGTGACTGTCACTCTTAGAAAATAGATGTTAGATGTTTGCAGTTAAGTGGCATTAAACTTCTGTGGACCAAGCAATAGGATTTCACTGCAAATGCATTGTCCCATCTTTGTGGAAGCTTTGCATTAACAAGTTCCATCTCAATAAATTATTCTGTTCGACCTGCCTTGTGACTTATACTACCGTAAGATCCTGCCCTTAATATTAAAACGTAAGCACAGATTTCCTCTCCCAAGCTAAGGCTGCATAAAAAGACTTACACTGAAGCTAAGAAATCCCGTCTGGATCAAGATAATTTTTCTTGAGAATAAGGAAAAACAAATATCCATGCGCTTGGGAGAGGAGGAAATTCTGCTGTAGATTGTTCTTCCTCCATCTTGTTAAAAAAAGGAATCTTGACTTAATGTATAGTTTGTTTCCAAACTACTGGCATCTTTCACAAATATAGGCTGGCCGGCTTATGAAAAGATAGCACAGTTTGTGTAGCCAAAGGTAGTTGTCATCATGCACTTATTAATGAGTATACATATCTCTGAACATCAAATGCTGTGCTATTTTTAGAGAGGTCCTTTCAGGTCCTATTTTCTGTTCTTTTTAAAATTTTTTTCCTTGCCCTCCTGCCATTTTCCTTCAAAACTCAGTGGTAGAAAGCAGAGAGGAAAGGGACCTGGGAAAGGAGATGTTCTCATTTGTCCAGCTTCCCCACGTCAGGAGCTACTCTGTGCATGTCATTCCTGACAGATGTTTGCCTAATCTGCCCTTAAAAAACTCCAGTGATGGGGCTTTGACAGTCTCCTTAGGCAATCTGCTCCAGCACTTTGCTGCACCTATCATTAAGAAGGGTTTCCTGATATCTAGTCTGTAATTAAAGGCCATGATTTCCCGCACAACCCATCATCAGTCTGACCTTACAGCCCAGGCAGCTCCACCAAGTTGACTGCAGTTTCCTTGCTAGATCTTCCTTGCCAACACTACTCCTTGGGCAACATGTTCTCTTCTGCCAGGAGCAGCCAGGGTGGTACGAGTGCCACCGTTGTTTTTGAGCGTCCAGCCCGGCGTCCTACAGGCCAGCAATGGGCAGGTTTCCCTCCTGGATCCCACGCAGCTGATGGGAAGGCAGCTGCCTGCCAGTAGACGCTATTGAATTAGGAGATTCAGTAAATCCCAGGAGAGGTGCTGCCACAGTAAAGTTAACAGCAGTTTTGTGCTGATAAAACTAGCAGTGCTCACCCTGGTCCCAGGCCTCAGAAAAGGAGCTGAAGCCTTTTTTGTCCTAGAACAAAATGTGCTGTGTGAGCAGTCATACCATATATTGTATATATGCAATCAGTAACATCTAGCACTTTGGACATACATTTTTTAATGAGAGCATTTCTGTAATGATTTTAGCAGTTTAAAAGCATTTTTAAAAAATCAGAGAGGTCACAGTTTTTGCTTGTTCTGTTTTCCAGTTGCTTCCTTTTAAATATTAGCAGGCAAAATACATCCTATGGCAGCCAGGTCTGATGCAGAAGCTGCAGATGCCAGCCTGCTGTGAGTGAGGTCGAGGTGCTGGGGAGCTGAGGCAGGTGCTTACTGGCGTGAAGCAGTGATTGAGAGTGAGCCAGTATAGATACAGGCATATCACAATATCACCACGGCAAGATAAACTCTGAGTCACTTTTTTAATATGCTTAGAACAGTGCTGAACGTTGTAAGAGTGTTTCCTTCTGCAGATTATTTACAACTAGAAGAAGGTAGTAATGAATTCATGTAAACCATCTGGGGAAATAGCCCTGACTGCCAAGAATAGGTGTTTTTTACAGTGGAAACGAGCTAGCTAAGCTAGGTTTACTTTTGCTGCCTGAGTAAATGATAGCAGTATGTAGTCAAACTTGTTTTGAGACTAAGAATTTTTGGTGGCATCCAAAATTAAATAAAATAAGGTTTGGATCAGTAGGAGGTATGGGGAGGCGTGTTGCCATCAGTAGGGTTGAATAACCTTTGTGTAACTGGGAATTTTGGTAAGTGGGTCAAAGTCAGCAGGGTTTGTCTCTGTATTTTGACACATGCACTACAAACACCCTGATATCCATTTCATTTCACAAGGTGTGTGCGTGCACTGAGATAATGCACCAGAGGGTCACTGGCAGGTTACAATGTGCCAGCCATCACGTGCACAGTGTCTAGAATAGTGCCAAGATACAATTTCATGGGGTCTGTGGGCACCGATAGCATTCAGAGCCCTATATAACACGTGTGCCCCACGTAACATCTCGCTCGCTCTTTGACACTGAGCATCCCCTTGGCACCTGTGGTCCTGAGCTGACAGGTCCGTTTCTATTTGTGCAAGGCATTTTTTAAGGCATTCTTCCCCTCAGTTGTCTTCTAGATGACCTGGAGGAGCTTCAGCTAGTTGCTCAGAGAGCAAAAAGGAGAAGAAAGGACAAAGTTTGTTTTCAAAATGAAAATTGTTTTGGGGTGGTTTTTATTTTTTTTTACAAAACACCATCAAATTTGGACTTTGCATTCCATGCAGCATGGGAGGTAGATTTATTGCACACGAGAGGTTTCGGTTTCACACTAATAATTAGAAGAATACATTTAAACCTTTCTCAGTATAAAAGTGATTTCAGGTGCTCAGGAATGCTCTGCCTCTTCCTTGTGGTTTGAAGGAAAAATTTTAAACATTTTCCACCCTGCAGCTATTGAGAGCAGCAAAAGAAAATACATATAAGCTGCTAGGAAATGTACAAAATAAACTTGTTTCCCACTTCCCGCTTCTTGTAATAATCATCAGTTGTAGGTCCTACTCCAAACATACTTTTGGACAAACTTTGCACTTTTAAAAATGGTATTTTCCATCAGGCAGAGTTTGTTCATGCCCCATGGCAGAGAAGCAGAGGCCCAAGTTGAAGCGTGCTGAGCTCAACGGGCTTTCGATGAGGTGCAACCCCTTCACGTTTTCCTAACAATCCCCAGTGCTCTTAACCCGCAGCACTCCTTTCCCACCCCATCTCCCCCGGGAGAGGCAGAAGCCTATTTGAAGGCAAACAAGCAGTAGAGCCTGCGAGGTGTAAATATCTTTCATCAATGCCAACGCTGAAAAAGCCTGGGTGCTCCCGACGACAGGCAGCTCACGCTGCGCGAGGGGGAATGATGTGCCAGTGCTGCCGCAGCCGTGGCATGAGTGTACAATTGCGCCCGGGCATCCCCGGACCCCTGCGTCCTGGCGGGGGGACACGCGGGGCAGCTGGAGGGACAGGGAGCAGGACTACCTGCTCCTCACCCCCTCGCCTCCACTGGCTCCCCTCTCCCCCCATCTAGCCCCCCCCCCGCCCCGACCTC